GACATGCACTTTTTTGTGTTAAACAATCGTTATTTTTCTCCTTTTTTATCTGTACATGTTAAGTGTTCCTGGTTTTACACTGATCCAGACCAGAGCAGAGAGGATTCATGGTCCCAACACAAGCAGACTCTGCTCCAACCAGAGGAAGCGGCTCATCACCACCCGCTGCTGTGGCACTTTATTGTTCGTCACTTTTAGACTGATGTATTTGTTTTGTTTGTACATGTTTCTGCTGCTGCACACATGAACTTCTCTGACAGGGATCGATAAAGTATCTATGTATCCAAGTATCTATCTGTTACACCATGACCCTCATTACACTGGAATCAAAATCAGAATTATTTTTATTGCAAGTAACAAAAAGTTCACAAACTGCTCATGGTAAAGGTGAAGTCCGACTGCAGAGAGGTAGAAACTGTTCTTATGGAGGGAGGTTCTGGTCCGGTCTGAAGCCTCCTGCCTGAGAGGGGTTGGAACAGTCCATGTGCAGGTGAGAGGGGAGAGGTTGGAACAGTCCATGTGCAGGTGAGAGGGGAGTGGTTGGAACAGTCCATGTGCAGGTGAGAGGGGAGAGGTTGGAACAGTCCATGTGCAGGGTGAGAGGGGAGTGGTTGGAATAGTCCATGTGCAGGTGAGAGGGGAGTGGTTGGAACAGTCCATGTGCAGGTGAGAGGGGAGTGGTTGGAACAGTCCATGTGCAGGTGAGAGGGGAGAGGTTGGAACAGTCCATGTGCAGGTGAGAGGGGAGAGGTTGGAACAGTCCATGTGCAGGTGAGAGGGGAGAGGTTGGAACAGTCCATGTGCAGGTGAGAGGGGAGTGGTTGGAACAGTCCATGTGCAGGTGAGAGGGGAGAGGTTGGAACAGTCCATGTGCAGGTGAGAGGGGAGAGGTTGGAACAGTCCATGTGCAGGTGAGAGGGGAGAGGTTGGAACAGTCCATGTGCAGGTGAGAGGGGAGAGGTTGGAACAGTCCATGTGCAGGTGAGAGGGGAGTGGTTGGAACAGTCCATGTGCAGGTGAGAGGGGAGTGGTTGGAACAGTCCATGTGCAGGTGAGAGGGGAGAGGTTGGAACAGTCCATGTGCAGGTGAGAGGGGAGTGGTTGGAACAGTCCATGTGCAGGTGAGAGGGGAGTGGTTGGAACAGTCCATGTGCAGGTGAGAGGGGAGTGGTTGGAACAGTCCATGTGCAGGTGAGAGGGGAGAGGTTGGAACAGTCCATGTGCAGGTGAGAGGGGAGAGGTTGGAACAGTCCATGTGCAGGTGAGAGGGGAGTGGTTGGAACAGTCCATGTGCAGGTGAGAGGGGAGTGGTTGGAATAGTCCATGTGCAGGGTGAGAGGGGAGTGGTTGGAATAGTCCATGTGCAGGTGAGAGGGGAGTGGTTGGAACAGTCCATGTGCAGGTGAGAGGGGAGAGGTTGGAACAGTCCATGTGCAGGTGAGAGGGGAGAGGTTGGAACAGTCCATGTGCAGGTGAGAGGGGAGAGGTTGGAACAGTCCATGTGCAGGTGAGAGGGGAGAGGTTGGAACAGTCCATGTGCAGGTGAGAGGTTGGAACAGTCCATGTGCAGGTGAGAGGGGAGTGGTTGGAACAGTCCATGTGCTGGTGAGAGGGGAGTGGTTGGAATAGTCCATGTGCAGGTGAGAGGGGAGTGGTTGGAATAGTCCATGTGCAGGTGAGAGGGGAGTGGTTGGAACAGTCCATGTGCAGGTGAGAGGGGAGTGGTTGGAACAGTCCATGTGCAGGTGAGAGGGGAGAGGTTGGAACAGTCCATGTGCAGGTGAGAGGGGAGTGGTTGGAACAGTCCATGTGCAGGTGAGAGGGGAGTGGTTGGAACAGTCCATGTGCAGGTGAGAGGGGAGTGGTTGGAACAGTCCATGTGCAGGTGAGAGGGCCACGAAAGTTCACATTTTGTGGTCAACAGTCTCTCAGTCCGGACAGAAGGGGATCAGCAGGTGGTCTGAGTGTCTGTGATCAGCAGTGATCACCCTAGCAACGCACCTGACAACAGTGCGCTGATATGACAATAAGACCAATGACAAGAGACCAGAGAGAGAGGGACCAGAGACCCGAGAGAGAGGGACCAGAGACCAGAGAGAGAGAGACCAGAGAGAGAGGGACTAGAGACCAGAGAGAGACCAGAGAGAGAGAGACCAGAGAGAGACAAGACACAGAGAGAGAGGGACTAGAGACCAGCGAGAGAAGGAACAGGGCGGGACTAGAGACCAGAGAGAGACCAGAGAGAGAGGGAACAGCGTGGGACAAGGGACGAGAGAGGGACCAGAGAGAGACCAGAGAGAGAGGGACCAGAGAGAGCTTTAAGAGCAGCGCTAGAGCAGGACGAGTCTGCTGCATAAAAATGATGTGGATTGAGAATGAGCCTTTGTTGAGTAGAAATGGATCCTGAGTCTGATCGATCCACTTCACACATTTCTCATCCATTTATTGTAACTGATCCCTGTGAGCAGTGAGTTTAGGTACAAGTAATGTATGTAATAAGAAAATAATGATCTCAAAAAACAAAATATTGCTAAACAAGTCAAACATTCCACAACTGGCACCACATGGACATTTTCAGGATTTATTTCAGTGAACAGAATATTTCAGAAAACATAAATTCCCTTTAGTGAGTCTGTATTTATCTGTGAATAATTGTCGGTCTGTCTCATGTTTGAAATACATAAATAAAACTAATCCGTGTGGAAGAAAGCTCGCCAGGGTTTGTGCATTTCTCCATTTTTATTTGGTCCATGCATTTACAAGGCCGTAAATATCGCTCCGTCGGGCCGTAAACAGTCGCAAATACTGAATAAATTAACTTTGTACAAATGATACAAGAATCAACACTTACTTAGATACGCATTTGCAGATTCCATATATTTATATTTATATATTTCTGTAGCGGTTTGGACTGGACTCACAAAACAGCTAAATGTACAACATCACATGGACAGATAAGCACACACACAGATCATATTCTGCCTTTGTGGTTCTACTAGGCCCCATTTCCACCACCACGACTCTACTCTACTCTGATTTACTCTACTCTATTTGGTTTTCCTTGGTAGCAGAGTGCTACTTCCAGCTGCACTCTGACGGACTCTGTTCTGACGGACTCTGACTGTCCGTCAGAACACTTTAGTACCAGCTCGGTCTGGATAGAACCAGGACCAAGAGGGACTAAATAAGGACCTGGAACTGGTTATACAGGACCAGAGGAAACTCAACCAATCAGGAGTAGAGTAGAGTAGAGTAGAGTAGAGTAGAGTAGAGTAGAGTAGAGCAGAGTAGAGTAGAGTATGGTAGAGTAGAGCAGAGCAGAGTATGGTAGAGCAGAGCAGAGTAGAGTAGAGTAGAGCAGAGTAGAGTAGAGCAGAGTATGGTAGAGTAGAGTAGAGTAGAGTAGAGCAAAGTAGAGTAGAGTAGAGCAGAGTATGGTAGAGTAGAGCAGAGTAGAGTAGAGTATGGTATGGTAGGGTAGAGTAGAGTATGGTAGAGTAGAGCAGAGTATGGTAGAGTAGAGCAGAGTAGAGTAGAGTAGAGTATGGTAGAGTAGAGTAGAGTATGGTAGGGTAGAGTAGGGTAGGGTAGAATAGAGTATGGTAGAGTAGAGTATGGTAGAGTAGAGTATGGTAGCGTAGAGTAGAGTAGAGTAGAGTAGGGTAGAGTAGAGTAGAGTAGAGTAGAGTATGGTAGAGTAGAGTAGAGTATGGTAGGGTAGAGTAGAGTATGGTAGAGTAGAGTATGGTAGAGTAGAGTATGGTAGAGTAGAGTAGAGCAGGGCTGGTGGAAACGGGGCGTAGTTTAGACACTTTTGTTACAGAAAAGTTGATAAATAGATATTTTAATTGGACTCGTTCTGGTGCAGCTCGTAACCAGGAAGTGTCTCAAACTGGGGTCAGGGACGTGCAAAGAACCGTCCGGAAAAACACCAGAGTTCCCCCTTTTTACTCTCACAACCACAGAATCCTTTCAACACATTAACATAAAAAATATCAAAAACACACTTTTCTTACATCTTCTGTCGATATGAGGTTTGGACGAATCAGAAACACAGAAGTATCAGGGCCCAGAGACCAGACCAGACTTTGGAAATCCACAATTTTACCAGATTTACTACGGACTGAATAGGACGAGCAAAAATGTTGTATTTTAAGGGAATTTTTGGTCCTAAAACACAGGAAATATAAATGTAACCAACTTTTTATCTACTTTTGACCTCATTTCAATTAAAAGTCATCACATGGACAGCTCTGGGAGTTCTAGAGTTAAAGATGATCACCAGATTTGTATTTCTCAACACCGCAGCTACGCCGGTGCCATTTTGGGAGAACATTAAAACTAAATGACTGCATAAACAAATAAAGTGAAAAATAAGATTCCAAAGATCCAGAGCTTTACAACGAGGTGCAACATGACTCTATTGGTGGGGCTGAAGTTGGCTGGATGACTGAAAGTGCCTGGTTTGTATTAGCAAGGCCCTCGTTCCCTTTGAAGAGGGCGGTTCGTTCCTAAAATTCGGGAAAATCCTCCGATAAACCTTGAAGAGATAAGTCATTGACGTTATCTTTGGTGGTGCATGTTCTCCCCGTGTCTGCGTGAGTTTCCTCCTGATGCTCCGGGTTTCCTCTAGCGCTAGAACCATGTGCAGTAGGGCTGGCGTCTCCTGCATGAGGCTCTCTCTGTGCGGAGCGAGACACAGAGGTAACAACTGTCGTAAAGCGCTTTGTGACTCTGGGCGGTGAAAAGCGCTAGATAAATAAATATCACTTAACGAGATGTTTTAACAGCAGAATTAACCGCTCAAACTGGAGAGAATAAGACTGAATCTAAATCCCAATCCTTTCAGATCCTGCGTGAATAAAAAAACAGCCCTGATACGATGCTAGGGGTTTGTCACAGAGGATGCCGGTTTTGGGTTCTGGTTCTGGTTCTGGTTCTGGTTCTGATGGTTTGGTCGGACACACAGTTTTACAGCGGGGTTCGGGACAGTCCGACAGTTAACACAGGCCTCCCTCGTAGTCGTCCTCTTCCTCCGCAGGTGCACCGCTAGCGCCCCCCTGTGGAGCCGCCGGCGCCTTCTTCTTCTTGGCGCCTCCTCCCGGGACGCGCAGGGAGATGGCTAGCTTAGCGTACTGCGGGGGAGAGACAGTGACATCACATGAACGCCGCTAACCGCCAGATGTTTCCATCAAATCTGACAAAAGAAATCTCCAAACTACACCATAAAATCTGCACCAAGTTATAAGTGACGTTTACAATATTACACTAAAGTCTAAGTGTACTTTTAGAAGAACATTAACATTAAAATATGTTATTGTTTCTTGCTAACAGAATGTGAATAAAGACAACGTCATTACTTGATCATTTTAAAGTCCAGTCCAAGTTCAGTCCAGGATCCTCCGTGTGTGAGTATTGTCCAAGTAAAAACAATTCTGTGTGGCTTCTGTGTTAGCACCTGTTAGCTCATGTTAGCATCCACTCGTGTTGGCTCGTGTCAGCCCGCGTTAGCTCATATTAGAATCTATTAGTTCAAGTTATCTTGTGTTATCTCGTGTTAGCATCTCGTGTTAGCATCTGTTATCTCGTGTTAGCATCTGTTATCTCGTGTTAGCATCTGTTATCTCGTATTAGCATCTGTTATCTCGTGTTAGCATCTGTTATCTCGTGTTAGCATCTGTTATCTCGTGTTAGCATCTGTTATCTCGTGTTAGCATCTGTTATCTCGTGTTAGCATCTGTTATCTCGTGTTAGCATCTGTTATCTCGTGTTAGCATCTGTTATCTCGTGTTAGCATCTGTTATCTCGTGTTAGCATCTGTTATCTCGTGTTAGCATCTGGTAGTTCGTATTAGCATTTGTTAGCCTATTTTAGCATCTGTTAGCCCGTGTTAGCATCTGTTTGTCCGTGATAGCATCTGTTAGCTCGTGTTAGCATTTGTTAGTCCGTGTTAGCTTGTATTAGAATCTGTTAGCTTATGTATGTCAACCCCTGTTATCTCATGTTAGCTCAGAGCATCTGTTAGCATCTGTTAGCATCTGTTAGCTCGTATTAGCAATTGTTAGTCCGTGTTAGCTTGTATTACAATCTGTTAGTTCGAGTTATCTTGTGTTATCTCATGTTAGCTCATAGCATCTGTTAGCATCTGTTAGCTCGTGTTGGCGCACTCACGTCGTTGTCCATGTACTTGAGCAGAGGGGAGTTGCACACGCGGTACGCCTGGTCCTCGTCCTGTTCGTCGTAGCCCTGCAGCAGCGTCTCCATGGCGACGCAGTCCTCGCTCCCGCTGTATCCGGGAAGACTGAGGGGGACAGTCCAAATAAATAATCCTGTGTTAGCAACCATACAACGCTAACCCGCTAGCTCCAAGAAGCCCAACATGGAAGTGCTATCCCTCGCTCCTATTGACTCCTCCTGCTCAGCTACCGTTTGTGTCACCAATTTGGTCTTAAAAATCCAAGGTTGAACGCTCTACATGATCCTGGAGTTAATATTTTGATAATGTCTTTATACATTTAGATATGAGCCATAACAACCGACCAATCAGGTGCCTTTGTCCGCACACTTGGCCGTGGCTTCACTCCTTATTGGCCTTTTGGTCTGCTAGCGTCTGTTAGCGTCTGTTAGCATCTGTTAGCATCTGTTAGCATCTGTTAGCTCCCCGTCTCTCATTGGACTCACCTGTAGCTCTCCCTCACACACTTGTCTGCTGCCACAAAGTCTCCTCTGTGGAGGTGGATCAGAACCTGAGCCGTGGTTTTCTACAACAACAGCAACAACAACAACAACAACAACAACAACATGAAGAAGTTAAAAATCAAATTTATCATCACGGGAGTTCATGTTTCATATTTAGTGCTACCACATTTGTATTTGAGTCAAAGAGAATAGAACTGTCATAGAACTGTCTGCCCTTCTTAGCTTCAGAGGTCATTCCAGACTTGGTTGGTGGTGGTGGGAGGGGCTGATGGCACAGACTGGTTGCCTTGTTTTTTCAGTGTGCCCCAGGGCAGGTGTGGCTACAGCAGTAGTGGAGTGAATGAATACTGATGAAGTGTCTTTGAGCGTCCAGAGAAACACATTACTTTCATCGTGACTTAAGTCTTAACCCTTTAAGCACCAGATGTTTTTTTTCTTTATTTCAAAAGGCTATAACTTAAAAGTGATAAGAGATAAAGGCTTTCTGTAAATTAGAAAAATATTAAGGATGGTCCAAAGTTTATGTAGAGAATAAATCCCCCCATCTAATTTGCATATTATGACGTCATTTGGCGTTAGAAATAGTGGATTTTAGAATTTTCATACAATATTTGTATTTTTCTGATAGACATATATTGATCCCTAATACATGAACACACACAGAACACACTGTAACGTTGTAAATGTTCATGAAAATAGTAAAAAATATAAATCATGATGCTGCTGTGAGCAGTCTGCCCAGACGCGCGCGTCACCGTGACCCTCCTGCTGCAGCTGTCTCCCCCACTCTCTCTCTCTCATCTCCCCTGATCTCTCTCTCATCTCCCCCACTCTCTCTCTCTCATCTCCCCCACTCTCATCTCCCCTGATCTCTCTCTCATCTCCCCCGCTCTCTCTCTCATCTCCCCTGATCTCTCTCTCATCTCCCCCGCTCTCTCTCTCATCTCCCCTGATCTCTCTCTCATCTCCCCCACTCTCTCTCATCTCCCCCACTCTCCCTCATCTCCCCTGATCTCTCTCTCATCTCCCCTGATCTCTCTCTCATCTCCCCCACTCTCTCTCTCTCATCTCCCCCACTCTCTCTCATCTCCCCTGCTCTCTCTCTCATCTCCCCTGATCTCTCTCTCATCTCCCCTGATCTCTCTCTCATCTCCCCCACTCTCTCTCTCTCATCTCCCCCACTCTCTCTCATCTCCCCTGATCTCTCTCTCATCTCCCCTGATCTCTCTCTCATCTCCCCTGATCTCTCTCTCATCTCCCCCGCTCTCTCTCTCATCTCCCCTGATCTCTCTCTCATCTCCCCCACTCTCTCTCATCTCCCCCACTCTCTCTCATCTCCCCTGATCTCTCTCTCATCTCCCCCACTCTCTCTCATCTCCCCCACTCTCTCTCATCTCCCCTGATCTCTCTCTCATCTCCCCTGATCTCTCTCTCATCTCCCCTGATCTCTCTCTCATCTCCCCTGATCTCTCTCTCATCTCCCCTGCTCTCTCTCTCATCTCCCCTGCTCTCTCTCTCATCTCCCCCACTCTCTCTCTCATCTCCCCCACTCTCTCTCTCATCTCCCCCACTCTCTCTCATCTCCCCCACTCTCTCTCATCTCCCCTGATCTCTCTCTCATCTCCCCCACTCTCTCTCATCTCCCCCACTCTCTCTCATCTCCCCTGATCTCTCTCTCATCTCCCCCACTCTCTCTCATCTCCCCCACTCTCTCTCATCTCCCCTGATCTCTCTCTCATCTCCCCTGATCTCTCTCTCATCTCCCCTGATCTCTCGCTCATCTCCCCCGCTTTCTCTCTCATCTCCCCTGATCTCTCTCTCATCTCCCCCACTCTCTCTCATCTCCCCTGATCTCTCTCTCATCTCCCCTGCTCTCTCTCTCATCTCCCCTGATCTCTCTCTCATCTCCCCCACTCTCTCTCATCTCCCCCACTCTCTCTCATCTCCCCTGATCTCTCTCTCATCTCCCCTGATCTCTCTCTCATCTCCCCTGATCTCTCTCTCATCTCCCCCGATCTCTCTCTCATCTCCCCCGCTCTCTCTCTCATCTCCCCTGATCTCTCTCTCATCTCCCCCACTCTCTCTCATCTCCCCTGATCTCTCTCTCATCTCCCCTGCTCTCTCTCTCATCTCCCCTGCTCTCTCTCTCATCTCCCCTGCTCTCTCTCTCATCTCCCCCACTCTCTCTCATCTCCCCCGCTCTCTCTTTCATCTCCCCTGATCTCTCTCTCATCTCCCCCACTCTCTCATCTCCCCTGATCTCTCTCTCTCATCTCCCCTGATCTCTCTCATCTCCCCTGATCTCTCTCTCATCTCCCCTGATCTCTCTCTCATCTCCCCCGCTCTCTCTCTCATCTCCCCCGCTCTCTCTCTCATCTCCCCCGCTCTCTCTCTCATCTCCCCCGCTCTCTCTCTCATCTCCCCTGATCTCTCTCTCATCTCCCCTGATCTCTCTCTCATCTCCCCTGATCTCTCTCTCATCTCCTCTGATCTCTCTCTCATCTCCCCTGCTCTCTCTCTCAGCTCCCCTGCTCTCTCTCTCATCTCCCCCGCTCTCTCTCTCATCTCCCCTGCTCTCTCTCTCATCTCCCCTGATCTCTCTCTCATCTCCCCTGCTCTCTCTCTCATCTCCCCTGCTCTCTCTCTCATCTCCCCTGCTCTCTCTCTCATCTCCCCCGCTCTCTCTCTCATCTCCCCTGTTATGGTCAGCTCCCGGCACAAGATATTCTAATCATTTAGGTCGATACATGCGTCTTGTTTCCCAGCGTCTGAAACTGCTTCCCATCACTGTTTGAAACATTAACACAAAGGCTCTCCTGTTCTTCATGGCCTTGCAGGTGCGCTAATCTGCATGGACTCACGTCGCGTTCTTTCTTATCTGTTTCTTCCGCGTCTCCCTGCTTGTCAAGGTCTCTTCACAGCGCTTAATGTATCTCTCCCAAACTTTCCCGTCTGCAGCCGCGTATGACTCATCTCTCTTGTGACGAATGCTCATTGTTCTGTCTGACACACCTCCAGTATAAGATCTTAGACACGCTTGTTGGGCGAACAGACAGACACGGCATCGGTCCAGGTCCCGTTTCCGTCTGGCTCCTTTCTGCGCAGAAATGTCATTTTTGTACTCATCACTTCTGTGAATAAACTGCACAAAAGGACAAGTTTGTTTCCTCTCGGAATTATTTCATTTGAAGCATCAGAATTCCATAACACCCCCTCTCTCTCTCTCATCTCCCCCTCTCTCTCTCTCATCTCCCCTGATCTCTCTCTCATCTCCCCTGATCTCTCTCTCATCTCCCCTGATCTCTCTCTCATCTCCCCCGCTCTCTCTCATCTCCCCTGATCTCTCTCTCATCTCCCCTGATCTCTCTCTCATCTCCCCTGCTCTCTCTCTCATCTCCCCTGCTCTCGTCTCTCTCATCTCCCCTGCTCTCTCTCTCATCTCCCCCGCTCTCTCTCTCATCTCCCCCACTCTCTCTCTCATCTCCCCCACTCTCTCTCTCATCTCCCCCACTCTCTCTCATCTCCCCTGATCTCTCTCTCATCTCCCCTGATCTCTCTCTCTCCCCTCTCCTCGGTGCGTCTCCCCCCGCTCTCTCTCGTCTCCCCCGCTCTCTCTCCTCTCCCCCGCTCTCTCTCTCAGTCTCCCCCGCTCTCTCTCTCCCCGCTCTCTCTCTCATCTCCCCGCGCTCTCTTCTCCCCGCTCTCTCTCTCGTCTCCCACCGCTCTCTCTCTCCATCTCCCCCGCTCTCTCTCTTGTCCTCCCCCGCTCTCCTCTCTCGTCTCCCTCGCTCTCTCGTCTCTCATCTCAATTGACGCTGGATGTCAATGTTGACATCCAGCGTCAAAGCTCGTTGCTGTCTGACCATTTCTTGATCACGTTTGATCTCGCTTTGGAGGACTTTCCTGTCCCGCAAGATAAAACCATAATGAAAAGAACCTTAAATGATAAATCTATCACAAGGTTCAAAGAACTAATACAGCCTATGTTGAATACTGCTGCAGGTGAACCTGTTCACAGCAGCTGCAGTCCCTCAGTCATTGACCAAACGGTGGGCAACACTATGGAGTCTTTAAAATCTGCATTAAATGCAGCAGCTCCTTTAAAACAGAAAACCATTAGGATTAGATCATCGTCGCCCTGGTACAGTGTTCAACTCCACACTTTAAAACAGGACGTCAGAAAATTGGAGAGGCTATATCGCCACTCCCACTCGGAGCCTGTCCACAGGGAGTGGAAAGCAGGTCTCCGAAACTACAAGAAGGCCCTTCGCGGGGCTCGAACTCAATACTATTCAACTTTAATAGAAGCGAATAAAAACAACAGTAGATTTTTGTTTGGTACCGTCGCTAAACTCACAAACTGCCATAGCGCAATCGAGCCTAAAATTCCAAGCTCACTGAGCAGTGTCGACTTTCTCCACTTCTTTAATAATAAAATTACATCCATCCGTGACAAGCTGGAGGAGGTTGCTCCTGCTGTTAGTGGTGGACAGGTTGAAGCGGCATACGTGACTTCCCACTTAGACTCTTCAGTGGGCCTTAATAAATTCATGGCTGTGAGCCAAGCAGAGGTGATCTCTGTGGTCACATCCTCAAAAGCCTCAACTTGCATGTTAGACGCAGTCCCGACATGGCTCTTCAAAGACATACTTCCTTTGATAATTGAGCCTATCGTAAATATAATAAACGCATCCATACAATGTGGCTATGTCCCACAAGCTTTTAAAACCGCGGTAATCAAACCCCTTCTGAAGAAAACAAACCTGGACCCAGAAATACTTACAAACTACAGACCGATCTCAAACCTCACTTTTATATCTAAAATCCTGGAAAAACTTATAGCTGAGCAGCTCCGCTGCCACCTGCAGGAAAATGATATGTTTGAAGTCTTTCAATCAGGATTCAGAGCTCATCATAGCACTGAAACGGCACTAGTCAAAGTCACAAATGACTTACTACTAGCTGCCGATAATGGACAAGTGTCAGTGCTGGTCCTACTGGACCTTAGTGCTGCATTTGACACAATAGACCACAGCATTCTACTGCAGAGGCTAGAATGTGATATAGGTCTTAGAGGAACAGCCCTTGGCTGGTTTAAATCCTATTTATCAGATCGATATCACTTCGTCAATGTGAATCAGGACTCGTCGCCTTATTCTGGAGTGGAATTCGGTGTGCCGCAGGGTTCGGTACTCGGACCGATTCTTTTTACTCTCTACATGCTGCCACTGGGAAACATTATTAAAAAGCATGGAATTAATTTCCACTGCTATGCAGATGACACACAGCTTTATCTGTCGATGAAGCCTAATCAGACAGATCAGCTAGAAAAGCTCAGTGCCTGCATAAAGGACCTTAAAATGTGGATGACTCTTAACTTCCTACTTCTCAACCCGGAGAAGACAGAAGTGATCCTACTCGGTCCGAAGCGCCTGCGTGACTCCCTCACTAACCAGATGGTTACTCTCGATAATGTCAGTATAATACCCAGTAACACTGTGAGGAATCTTGGAGTCATTTTTGACCAAGAACTCTCCTTCAAGGCTTATATAAGCCAAGCAACTAAAACGGCGTACTTCCACTTACGGAACATCGCTAAAATTAGGAATTTCCTTCCTAAAAGTGACGCGGAAAAACTCATTCACGCGTTTGTCACCTCAAGGCTCGACTACTGTAACGCTTTACTGGCAGCGTGCCCTAAAGCCTCTTTGAAGAGCTTCCAGCTCGTTCAGAATACAGCAGCTAGGATCTTAACAGGTACCAAAAGGAGGGAGCACATAACTCCGGTGTTAAAATCACTCCACTGGCTCCCTGTGGAGTACAGAATAAAGTTTAAAATCCTACTCTTAACATATAAAGCCATAAATGGCTTGGCTCCTTCTTATCTCCAAGACACGTTAGTGTCGTATCAACCAGGTCGAGCGTTGCGCTCACAAAACGCCAGACGTCTGGTGGTCCCTAAGGTCTCAAAGGTCACTGTTGGTGGCAGAGCATTTAGCTACCAAGCTCCTTTACTGTGGAATCAGCTTCCCATTTATGTTAAGGAAGCAGATACGGTCTCCACATTCAAGGCCAGGCTTAAAGCACTTTACTTTAATTTAGCATATAATTAGGTAATATATAATATGTAGTGTATATATTATATATATATGCTGTATTATGTTATATATTATGTTATATATTATTCAATAATGTATTGTGTTATGTTGTATATTATGTTATATATTATGCTGTATGTTATTCTTTATTCAAGGCTAGGTTTAAAACAGTCCTCTTTAGTTTAGCATATGGCTAGGAAGGTAAGACTCGGAGAAGGTTAAACTCCTCAGAGTGTTAGTCAAGCTGCATAGGGAGTCAGTTTGCTGGGAGAAGTATGGTAACTTGAGCACTATCCTCTCCTCCTTCCTACTTTATCTGTTTAGCATTTTTAGGATTCTGACTGTAGTTTGTTCATTGCTATTCACCCGTTGTCCCATTGTCTGTTTCATGGTACGATGACGGGATCTCTGAGCCTGGCCTCTTCCATCTACACCTGCGGACTGCCCCGCCCGACCCGCCTGGGAGTGCTTCAGTCCTGCACCGGACCTGTCCACGTTCAGCGTCCACTGGTCCACGTTCTGTAGCTAGCTTAGGTCCTAGATCATTAGCCTGTCCGTCCGGAGGAGCGGATCCCTTTCTCATATGGGTCTCCCTCCCTGTGGGTTTCCCTAGTTCTCCTCCAAGGTTTCTCACTTTTTCCCACTGGGTTTTTTAAGAGTTTTTCCTTGTCGATGCAGGAGGGTTGTTGGACTCCCCGCTCTCTCTCTATGTTTTCTCCCCCGCTCTCTCTCTAGTCTCCCTGTTGTGACCGCTCTATTCATCTTAGTATCCCCCGCTCTCTCTTCTAGTCTCCCCCGCTCTCTCTCTTCTCCCCCGCTCTCTCTCTCGTCTCCCCCGCTCTCTCTCTGTCTCCCCCGCTCTCTCTCTCGTCTCCCCCGCTCTCTCTCTCATCTCCCCGTCTCCCTCCGCTCTCTCTTGTCTCCCCCGCTCTCTCTCGTCTCCCCGCTCTCTCTCTCGTCTCCCCCGCTCTCTCTCTCCCGTCTCCCCCGCTCTCTCTCTCGTCTCCCCCGCTCTCTCTCTCTCGTCTCCCCCGCTCTCTCTCTCTCTCCCCGCTCTCTCTCTGTCTCCCCCACGCTCTCTCTCTGTCTCCCCTGCTCTCTCTTCGTCTCCCCTCTCATTGCTCTCTCTCTCTTCGTCTCCCCCGCTCTCTCTCTCGTCTCCCCGCTCTCTCTCTGTCTCCCCCGCTCTCTCTCGTCTCCCCTGCTCTCTCTTGTCTCCCCCGCTCTCTCTCTCGTCTCCCCGCTCTCTCTCTCGTCTCCCCCGCTCTCTCTCTCTCTCCCCTGCTCTCTCTCTCTCGTCTCCCCGCTCTCTCTCTCGTCTCCCCGCTCTCTCTCTCGTCTCCCCGCTCTCTCTCTCGTCTCCCGCGCTCTCTCTCTCCCCCGCTCTCTCTGTCGTCTCCCCGCTCTCTCTTGTCTCCCCGCTCTCTCTCTGTCTCCCCCACGCTCTCTCTTGTCTCCCCGCTCTCTCTTGTCTCCCCCGCTCTCTCTCTCGTCTCCCCTGCTCTCTCTCGTCTCCCCCGCTCTCTCTCTGTCTCCCCCGCTCTCTCTCTCGTCTCCCCCGCTCTCTCTCTCGTCTCCCCTGCTCTCTCTCTAGTCTCCCCCGCTCTCTCTCTAGTCTCCCCCGCTCTCTCTCTGCTCTCTCTCTCTGTCTCCCCCGCTCTCTCTCTTCTTCCTCCCCGCTCTCTCTCTTGTCTCCCCCGCTCTCTCTCTCGTCTCCCCGCTCTCTCTCTCGTCTCCCCGCTCTCTCTCTCGTCTCCCCCGCTCTCTCTCTCGTCTCCCCGCTCTCTCTCTCGTCTCCCCGCTCTCTCTCTCGTCTCCCCGCTCTCTCTTAAGTCTCCCCGCTCTCTCTCTCGTCTCCCCCGCTCTCTCTCTTCTCTCTCTCGTCTCCCCCGCTCTCTCTCTCGTCTCCCCCGCTCTCTCTCTCGTCTCCCCCGCTCTCTCTCTCGTCTCCCCCGCTCTCTCTCTCGTCTCCCCGCTCTCTCTCTCGTCTCCCCCGCTCTCTCTCTCGTCTCCCCCGCTCTCTCTCTCGTCTCCCCCGCTCTCTCTCGTCTCCCCGCTCTCTCCTCGTCTCCCCGCTCTCTCTCTCGTCTCCCCCGCTCTCTCTCGTCTCCCCCGCTCTCTCTCTCGTCTCCCCCGCTCTCTCTCTCGTCTCCCCCGCTCTCTCTCGTCTCCCCCGCTCTCTCTCTCGTCTCCCCGCTCTCTCTCGTCTCCCCGCTCTCTCTCGTCTCCCCCGCTCTCTCTCGTCTCCCCCGCTCTCTCTCGTCTCCCCCGCTCTCTCTCGTCTCCCCCGCTCTCTCTCTCTCCCCGTCTCCCCCCCCGCTCTCTCTCTTGTCTCCCCCGCTCTCTCGTCTCCCCCCTCTCTCTCGTCTCCCCGCTCTCTCTTGTCTCCCCCGCTCTCTCTCGTCTCCCCCGCTCTCTCTCTGTCTCCCCCGCTCTCTCTCTGTCTCCCCCGCTCTCTCTTGTCTCCCCCGCTCTCTCTTGTCTCCCCCGCTCTCTCTCGTCTCCCCGCTCTCTCTTGTCTCCCCCGCTCTCTCTTGTCTCCCCCGCTCTCTCTTGTCTCCCCCGCTCTCTCTCGTCTCCCCCGCTCTCTCTCGTCTCCCCCGCTCTCTCTCTCGTCTCCCCCGCTCTCTCTCGTCTCCCCCGCTCTCTCTCGTCTCCCCCGCTCTCTCTCGTCTCCCCCGCTCTCTCTCGTCTCCCCCGCTCTCTCTCGTCTCCCCGCTCTCTCTCGTCTCCCCCGCTCTCTCTCGTCTCCCCCGCTCTCTCTCTCTCTCTCCCCCGCTCTCTCTCTTGTCTCCCCCGCTCTCTCTCTGTCTCCCCCGCTCTCTCTCTGTCTCCCCGCTCTCTCTCTCTTGTCTCCCCCGCTCTCTCTCGTCTCCCCCGCTCTCTCTGTCTCCCCCGCTCTCTCTTGTCTCCCCCGCTCTCTCTCTGTCTCCCCCGCTCTCTCTTGTCTCCCCCGCTCTCTCTTGTCTCCCCCGCTCTCTCTCGTCTCCCCCGCTCTCTCTCTGTCTCCCCCGCTCTCTCTCGTCTCCCCCTCTCTCTGTCTCCCCCGCTCTCTCTCGTCTCCCCCTCTCTCTCTTGTCTCCCCGCTCTCTCTTGTCTCCCCCGCTCTCTCTTGTCTCCCCCTCTCTCTCTTGTCTCCCCCGCTCTCTCTCTGTCTCCCCCGCTCTCTCTTGTCTCCCCGCTCTCTCTCGTCTCCCCCGCTCTCTCTCGTCTCCCCGCTCTCTCTCTGTCTCCCCCGCTCTCTCTCTAGTCTCCCCGCTCTCTCTCTG